CACACACACACACACACACACACACACACACACAATCACCCGGTACAGGCCAAAATGGAATCTCTTCTAATTGTCTTAAACGGTGATAAACCCAGCTCTCCATCCTTTGGAAGGGTACCTGCACCTCTCTGCGTTAATCTAACCCCCTTCCAGCCCCCCCTCAAGCTCTGTTTCCAGCTAGCTTTGAAAATGGATTAAAGATTCAAAGCTCCCTTCAGTCTCCACCCACAGGATCAAAGGGTGAAGATGGGGAGCCTGGGGAAGCAAAGCGGGGGAGGAATGCAAGACGGAACAGGCCCCTAACTTTTGAACTGGCAGATGAGCAAGCAATCCGTGGGGCTCCTCCCTTCCTCTGCCAAACCACCCCAGGGTGGAGGGGGAGGATAGGGGGGGAGAGGAGCAGCCCCCCCTGTTCTGCACAACCTGTGCCCTTGAGAAATAAACACAACCACCAGCAAAGCCAGGCACACGCCTCAGCTGCTGCTAATCCCCCGTGCCAACAAGACAAAGCAGGAGCCCAAAAGGGCCCTGAGCTGTGAAGGGTTTTCTGCATCTGCATCCGGCACGCAAGTATAGAGGGAGGGGACGGCCCAGTGCAAATACACGGCCGGGCTGGAGAGCTGGGAATAAAGGTACAGACACCATCTCCAGACAAGAGAGCAGTGTTCCACCTGCTGCCTTGACTCCACCACCCTCTAGCGGCCGCACTGGGGACCTGCAGCGGATGGGCCGGCCGAGGGCTCATTGGAGAAAGTGGGTCATTATATTGGGTCTTGGGGCTGTCTCCCTCCCTCCTTCCCCTCCTTCTCTGACCCTCTGTCTTCTTTCCAGTGAAGTAACCATTTGTTCCTGAGTGGCTGAGATCACCCATTCTGGCATTTCCAGGGTAGGACCCCCCGCCCAGGAACTACAGGTATTCCCAACGCAGCTCAGCTCCAGGAATTCTCTCTCTGGGGGTCTCCAAGGGTCCCCCCTGTCCTGCAATCCCAGAGAATCAGCACTCTGTGCACAAGCACTCTTCATACTGCGTGTTCCAGGGTACTCACTCCCCACCGATGGGAAATCCTTCTCCTTACAACGGGGAGCCGCAAGTTCAGAGAGGTTTCAGCATTCGGGGGACTAACTGACCCTGTAGTTCAAGACAAACAGTGCCAAACTGGCTAAGAAGCCGGATAACCCCACGCCCGTGGGCTCAGGTCCAAACAGCTATGAGCTTCCCAGGCTCTGGTTGGTGGTTGTTTTTGTGCCAGGCTTGGGGCTTGAACTCAGGGCCTGGGCACCATCCCCGAGTTTCATTTGCTCAAGACTAGTGCTCTACCACTTGAGCCACCAGCAATACCTTCAGCTTTTTGGGGTATTTATTGGAGATGAGTCTCACAGATTTTCCTGCCTAGGCTGGCTTTGAACCACAATCCTCAGATCTCAGCCTCCCGAGTAGTTTGGACGACAGGCGTGAGCCACCAGCGCTCTGGCTGGTCGTTACTATACCAACCCAACAACAGCCAACTGATTTCACCCCAAGTGCTCATGGCAAGTCTGTTTGCCCTCCATCTCTGGTGGCACAGGCTGCTAGAAGAGGCTACGTCCTTGAGAGAATCTTCGAGAAACCACTTTCAGAAAAGAGGTTGGAAGCCAGGCGCCAGTGGCTCAAGCCTGTCATCCCAGCTACTCAGGAGGCTGAGATCTGAGAATCGCAGTTCAAAGCCAGCCAGGGCAGGAAAGTCTGAGACTCTGATCTCCAATAAACCACTCAGAAAACCGGAAGTGGCGCTGTGGCTCAAGTGGTAGAGCACTAGATTTGAGCTGAAGAGCGCAGGGACAGCGCCCAGGCCCTGAGTTCAAGTCCCATGACCGACCAAAACAAAAAGATTGGTCTGACCAAGACAGCCAGGGAGAAGAGTTGGGGTCACTATCTCTCCCAGATACCAACCCCCCCACAACGTGGTCTGCCTTCGTGGTCCTGACTCCCCACCTTGCCCCACCCCACATCCATCCTGTGTTCATGCCATTCTGGGGAGCCGCTCCTCAGCCTCCAGTCTCCACGGTAGCTGGCAGCCCCTCCCCGATCTCCACACCCACTACGACGCCTCCACCGGGAAGCTAGACACACCGTGCCGCGGGGGGCAGCCAGGCAGGCCGCAGGTTGGACAAACTGCAGGACTGCAAGGCCACTGGTCCCCCAGATTTGGATGTTTGGGGCCCCTGACTGCCGACAGCAAGGTCACAGATTCGCCTGCAAAGCACTTCATGCAGAGTTGTGATGATTCCTCTTCCTGGGTCTCCACCAGTCCTGGGGCTTGAACTCAGGGCCTGGGCCCTCTGGTCTTGACCTTTTTGTGTTCCAGGCGGGCCCTCTACCACTTGAGCCACACCTGCACTTCTGGCATTTTGCCAGTCTCTCAGACTTTCCCTGTCCAAGCTGGCCTCAAACGGTGATCCTCAAATCTCAGCCTCCCGAGTAGCTAGGATGACAGGCGTGAACCACTGAGCTGAGCTCTGAGTTTCGCTTCTCTTAGCTGCTCCATTCTTCCCCAGGCTCCCTCCTCCACCAAGCCAATCTCACATTCGCATCTCAGCATTCTGCTCAGATCTGCAATTCCTCTCCCGTGCATCTATTTCATACAGACTTATTGAACACCTGCTTGGGAGCCCTGGGTACTGAGCTAGAAACCTGCAATCCAGCAATGGATGTGTCAGACAAGACCCTAGGACACCTGGCAGAGTTGTTGTTTTATTTTGGGGGGGGGGGAAGGAGGCTGGAGGGAAAGACATCCCTGAACCCAGGAACGAGTAGCTTCACATGGTTACAAAATTCAAGCGCATCACAAAGCCAAGGCGCCAAGGGACGGCGCTGCTCCAAACGAAGCCGCTGAATTAACAGCCAGTAGCTGGAGAGGCCAGGAGAGAGGCCAATGGAGAGACATTGCCTGGGGGAGGCGGGAGTGCAGCAGCGCCCCCCAGTGGCGGAGGACCACAAAATACAAGGGACAACCTGAACCTCCCAAGCGCGCTCTCTCTCTCTCTCTCTCTCTCTCTCTCACACACACACATTAAACCTATTTCCAATGCTCCCAGCACAGTGCTCGGTACCTTCCTAGTGCATCCTGTCAGGTCTGATCTTCTCCCAGAATTCTGCACAGACACATCTTCCCACAGGAACAGGGTGGGACACAGGA